GGTGCCTAGAGCTGAAATCCTCACAGCTTCTTCCATCTCTGCTCTGAGGCTCTGCCTGGAAGGGGTCACCCTGTGAGGGATTTTGCATTTTAATTCTGTTATTATTGCCCTACTTGGGAAGCTCTGCAGAGAGCTCCTGCTGCCAGCCCTGCTCCCTTCTCCCCCAAGCACCTTCTCTGCCTTGTGACATCCGAGTGCTGGCAGTGTCTGCGACGGTTTGAGCAGCAAATGCCCTGCCAGGTGCTCTTCCCACGGGACCTGCTCTGTACCCCCAGTGGCAGGGGGAGCAAGGGGCCAGTGGATCCTCCCTAGCCAAGCTGTGTGTCCCTGGGGAAACGTGTTTCCAGTGAGAGCTTTACCCAGCGTCTGTGCTTGTGGGGAACACTGTGAGAGACAAGTGTGGATGTGTGGATACCTACCTGAGCTGGGCTGGGAGGCTGCGTGGGGACAGTCATTGATCTTTAAATTTGACAGAAATCAAGTTCCAAGTGGGAACTATTTTTTTTTTTTGCTAAGGTTTAAGAGGCTGAACTTCACCTGGGGGAGATCCTTAGGGGGGATCTCATTAATGCCTGTAAATATCTAAAGGGGGTGTCAGGAGGGACCAGATTCTTTTCAGCGATGTCCAGTGACAGGGTAAGTGGCAATGGGCACAAACTGGAGCACAGGAGGTTTAACCTTAATGTAAGAAAGTAATTCTTTACTGTGAGGGTAACGGAGCACTGGGACAGGCTTGTGGAGTCTCTATCCCTGGAGACATTCCAGATCTTCCTGGACATGTTCCTGTGTGATCTGCTCTAGGGGACTCTTCTGTAGCAGAGGGTTGGACTAGATGATCTCCAGAGGTCCCTTCCAACCCACACCATTCTGAGAGACTGATTCTGTGAAATGCCCTGAGCTGCAGTGCTGAAGGGACAAGCTGTGACTGTGGTGTCAGTGCCAGTCTCCTCCCCAGGAATTCAGCTGGGTGAGCTCAGGGCAACTTTCTGAGGCAGCAAACCCAGTCAAAGAGCCTGTTTCCTCCTCCCATCCAAGAAGAACAAGCAAGAGGGTGACATGTGCCAGCTGTGGGCTCCAGGGAGACTTCCCACCCAGCTCCAGGCAGCTGGATCTGCTCACAAGAGATAATACTACCTTTGTTCAGGCACTGAAATGCAAAGCACGTTACAAACTTTTCCTGCCCCCCTGCACGTGGAGGGGCTATATTTAGCAGGAGGAGCCATCCGTGCTGTTTGGGTGTTGTGAATGGAATTCCATGTTCCACCCACGTCCATCGTGAGGAGGACGTGAAACGGCTTCATGAGAGATGAGTCACATTCACTGTGTGTGGGGGAAGAGAGTGGAAGATCAGGATAGAAGTGTTACACAGCTGCTGGGTGTGCTCTGCTGGATCCTCTGGTTGGTAGAGATGGGCAGAGCGTGACACGCTGGACCTGGGGTAACATCATGCCAGGGTTTGTACCTTCTGGCAAGAGTCATGGCAGTTGCTGTTTCTGTGAAAAACGGACAGTAATGGCCAATTATTTAGCTGTTGGATCATTGAAATCGGCACCCCAACATTTCGTGAAGTTCTCGGGATTGTGGAATAAATAAACCAGGGAGCACAGTGAGGGCTGGTGGAGACAGCAGCTTCACACCATCGTGGTGCCTTCAGCAAGAGGAGAGGAGCAGCTGGCCCTTCCAGGGGTGGTTGGAGAGGGAAGATGGGCCTAGGATGGGATCTCTGAGGGAATACAGGGTACTGGGTGTTAGGGGAGAACATGCTGACTGATCACTGTTCATGTGGCATCGGTGATTTTTGCTCTGGGGTCTTCTAACCCCATATTGGATGGTCTTTCAGCCTCCAGACAGGCTGTTAAATGTTCTTGCCCTGGTGAGTTGCAGCTTCTAGTGACCATTGTCATCCTCCTGGTTTGGGCTCCTGGTGCACCTGCTCACTAGCAGAGCATGGGAAGCTTGAAGTCCCAGGCTTAGGAAAAACATTTCTTAGCAAGAACTGAAAATGTCAGTGTGTCATCCCCCTTCTTCTCACGCTGAAGACAAAGGCACTGTACCAGCTACTGGAGAAATGACTAAGAAAATGAACTGTAGGTGGAAGCTCACAGGGTGCAGCCCCAGGCTTCAGCAGGGTTAGCTACTCATGCTAAGTAAGTAAAGCTAAGCAAACAGCACAGTAAATCACACAATATTACAAGTGATGGATTCTATTTGAAACTTACTTATTTAAGCTAAACAACCAGTACTTTTCAGCACCAGTGCAGGGCATGAGGCAGAGAGGGTTGCAGCAGCACTGCATGGGGATAGGGACAAACCACAGGGCTTGGAGGCTGCTGGGTACCCCAGTGCCCCCGGTCTGTAATAACTGCCTGTCTTTGCCTTTGCCTCCCTTAAGGAAGACAAGGAGCTGGCAGACATCGACGGCCTGCTGGAGAGGAGTGAGGATTCCAACGGGCTGTGCCAGCGGAGCCAGGGCGGGATCATCTCTGACAGCCGGCCCCTGCTCTACGTAGAGCACAGGTAGTGCTTCCTGCCCCCGTGGGGCCTCGGGCTTCAGGACAACTGGACCAGATTAGCCTCTAGAGGTGCCTTCCAGCCTAAAACACTCCCTGAATTTCTGGAAGCATCTCTGCTGAGAGCCCTGGTGCATAAAGCTTTGCCATCAAACTCACCCGGCCAGGTGACCTGCTGTGTTCACGCTGGGCATGGAGAACATGTGCTGTGCTCCCAGGAGGCTGAGCCCTGCTGGGAGCTGATTCCACCGGGGAGGCTGGTTAGACTTGTCCAACCTTTCCTGCACATCACCATCAACAAAGTGGCCTAAGTTGTCCAGGAGCTGAAGGGTGAATCAGTCTCCAGACCTGTTGGGAAGGGGCTAGCAGGTGGATTCAACATGGTTCAGAGCCCAGGGCTGGTGCATACTCTTGCAGCTCCTTCTGTTTCTGGATAAAAATTTAAAGTTTTAGCTGAGACAACTTAACCTGTCCAGGTTTTGAAACATCAAACCCAGGTCTCAGCCGGCCAGCAGTCGGTGCCAATGCAGCCTGTTTGGGGACATTTCAGCACAGCCTAGAGGTTTGTTTACCTAGAGGTGGTTTTAAACTTCAGTGACACCTCTGGTCAAGTAAACATTACTCAGAAATCTCTGAGAGCTGGATAAGCTCTGAGTGGGTGAGGGTTGGCAGTACTGGATCTCAGCCTTCCCAATCCCTCTTCTCAAGCCCTGCTCCCTGGGGGGCAGAGAAACCCTTCCCTGACACCCGCCTTCTCTGGGACAAACTTTAGCTGGACTGGGGGTGTTGTCATGCTTTGATACCAGATCTTTCTATTTAAAAAATGTATTTAAATCCTTTCTAGGGATTTAAATGAAATTTAAATAAAATAAATTTTAATTTATTTAAAACTATGCAGGGGTTAAGGTGCTTGCCCAAATCACAGGTTGCCACTCTGCAGCAAGTATTCCATGTTTTGCAGTCGGGTCCTGTCCTGGGAGCATCCCAAAGCCAGCTCCCAGCTGCCCTGGAGAGGGCAGCACCAGTACTCCCCAGCTCAGCCTGCCTGAGAGCAGAGCAGGGAGGAAGGGCCCATAGACTGAACAAGGTTATCAATGCCTCCTTTTCTGACCAGTGACTTTTAGTCGACTCTGGGTGTGTTGTGTCTCATCAATTATGTGTGTGTGACTCTGCAGGGACTTGGCCAGAGACAGGTGAGGTGTTGCTGGAAAGGTGAGGCTTTGGACTGTGCTGAACTGATGGTAGCTTTTCTTTCTTCTTTCAACCTTCTCAGGAACTTGAACCCAGAGAATGAGTTGAAGAGATACTTTGGGGCTCGTGCTGTTCTTGGTGATCAGAGGTGAGTCCAGGATTTCATATTAAACCTTTCAAGGTCCAAGGTGTCTGTCCCTCCCTTGGAGCAGCTTTCCAAGCCCCCACAGCCACTTCTGAGCAGGGAGGCCAGGGTACCCCGAGGTGTTTGGGGTGCTGGCTCATTTCATACTCACTTTTTGGGACAGGAGAGTGTTTTTCTGGGATGTGAGGTCTCTGTGCATCCTGTGGTCAGTGTGATCCAGACATCCCTGCTTTCATAAACTGCCTGAAAAATGTGCACGTTAGAAGGGTGTAAGCTCAGAGCAGTGATGGTGGAAGCAGAAGCTTTCTTTGAGAGAGTTTGTGAAAGAATATTTAGTGCTCAAGGAAGAAGCAGCAGTCCCTCACTGAGGAGATGTGACTTTTTTAGAGTGGCCTTGATTTTTGGATCCCTCCTCCCTCAAACCAGTGCACTGGTTGCACTTATGAGTACAGCTTCAGCTAAACCAGTTGAGGTTTGAAGGTGCTGCTGGGAAGGGAGATGAGTCAGAGGGATATGGGGCACTCTTAATTGGACCTGGGAAGCTGTTTGACGCGAAGAGGCAGCTGAGATCTTGGCAGGAATAAAAACAGGGGAGAGAAGCTATTGAAGTGGAAATGCTGGAGGCACTGGCTGGCCCAGAGAGGAAGGGCTGGAGCGCAGCAGAGCCTGAGCGAAGGGATCCTGTGTCTTGAAGGCAAACATGTTCAAGCTCTGGGCAAGAGCTCTGTGTGGCAGAGCTGCAGCTGGGGAAGAAGCTGGATCTCTTTATATTTTTTCTTTTTTTTTTTTTTTTCCCCTGAATCATCCCTTTTTGGGCTGGTCTCAGCCCTCCTGGCTCTGCTGCTGCCCTGAGCTGGGGTGTGTTTCCGCAGGCCGAGGCCGCGGCAGCGGCAGCACGTCCGCAGCACCTGGCTGACAGCCCCCAAGAACACGTGGCCACGCTACAGCAAAACAGGTGAGGCTTTGGGTGCCACCTCCTGCAGCTGCGACACCCCCTGTCCTGTGTTGGCATGGGCAGCCACTCTTGGCAGCCTGTGGAGCGCAGCAGAGCCTGAGCGAAGGGATCCTGTGTCTTGAAGGCAAACATGTTCAAGCTCTGGGCAAGAGCTCTGTGTGGCAGAGCTGCAGCTGGGGAAGAAGCTGGATCTCTTTATATTTTTTTTTTTTTTTTTTTTTTTCCCCTGAATCATCCCTTTTTGGGCTGGTCTCAGCCCTCCTGGCTCTGCTGCTGCCCTGAGCTGGGGTGTGTTTCCGCAGGCCGAGGCCGCGGCAGCGGCAGCACGTCCGCAGCACCTGGCTGACAGCCCCCAAGAACACGTGGCCACGCTACAGCAAAACAGGTGAGGCTTTGGGTGCCACCTCCTGCAGCTGCGACACCCCCTGTCCTGTGTTGGCATGGGCAGCCACTCTTGCCAGCCTGGCTTTTCTAGAGCCTCCGCACATGGAAACCAGAGCTGCTTTCATCAGCTGCCAGGCCTGGGCTTGGCACATGCTGGTGTAGAAAGGGAACTGCCCATCAGCTGGTGGAAACACCTCCTTTCCCAACAGGGAAAACTCTGTTGTATTTTATCTTAGAGGCTGAGCAGGTTTTGTTTTTTTCCCCCTTTTTGGAAGCAGCAGGTGATACTCACTTCCCTTCTTACAGCAGGCTTGCTGGATAATGGGAAATAGCCATGGGAAGAGCAAGCTGCCTGGGCTCCTTGGTGGGGTTTGGACTTTGAATCATGGAGTGAAATTCTCTGGGAGCTTCTGAAAATGCATTTGGCTTTGGAGCCAGCGGTGGGAATGAGCTCTGTGTGATAAGGGAACAGAAGAGCTGCTTGTACCACAGGCTGGTGGCCATGGTCCCCAGCTCTGCTGTGCACGTGCAGGTATCACCATGCAGCTGGTGGACACCAGGAGGGGAGTGCGGTTCTTCGCCTTCGAGCACCACCGCGAGTACCAGCAAGTGCAGTTCAAGTTTCTGGATGCCGTAGAGTCCATGGACCCCAACAACATCGTGGTATGTTGGGAAGTGGCATTGCCTGTGCTGTTCCAGCAGTCCTTTTCCCTGGCTGATGCATCCCAGTGCTTTTTAGTTTGCCAGTCCGGTTTGGAGCAGTAGAGCCCTGTGTCTCCTCTGTGTGAGGTGAGCCAGCGTTGCTTGCTGAGCTCTGCTTTCACCTTATTCCTAAGATAAGTGAGCACCTTGGTGCAAATGAGGTCCAGGGGCTGGTGGCCAAGCCTCAGGGGCTCTGCCCAAGATTGTGCCAGGTACCACTGGGAAGAGGAGGCCAAAAGAACAAACCCTTTGACTGGAAGGGTAGGGATAAAGTTCTCTTGTCTTCAGCTGGGAAAGAGAAAATATTGTATAAACCAATCTTTAAATGAGATCTAAACTAACAGCTGTTCTATTTATAAACCCTTGCAAGGATGAAAAATGTGTATTTTCTTGGAATTTCAGCAGAACAGTCTTTGTGTTGAAAGTTCTTCATGTGTGTCCAAGCTCATTAAACTATGGTAACATTTATAGTTTGTAGTGATAAGCAGCAGAAAAATTGCTCT